TGAGCGATTGCTTTTACAAGAACTTACACTGAAGAGCTGCGTGTCAGAGACATGCTGTCCCTTGTCGTCCAACAACGGTTTTCCATCTTGGCCGAGCTTCGCCTCTGCCATGCCGACCTTGACGAAATCGTACTTGACCACAACAGTGGCGAGAATGATCCTTGCCTCGATGTTCGCTAGTTCCTGACCGATGCAGTTGCGCGGACCCCTCTCAAAGGGCCGCCACGCTGACACGGGTATATCGCTCTCGCTGGCCTTGCCGATAGTCGCCTTCTCGGCGTCGTTGCTGTCTACTTCTTCGTCGTCGTTAGACACGGAGGTGCTGGTGTTTCCCAGCCAGCGCTCGGGGACAAAGTCATTGACGGTGGAGCCATAGACGGCCTCGTCGCGTTGGATGAGCGTATGGCAGTTGTACAGGATGGTGCCGTCGACACAGACGCTTGAGCCGTCGGCGAGCTTGAGATGGAAATTGGAGCCGGGAGGACACCAGCGAGCAGTACCGGCAGGCGGGTACAGGCGCAAAGCCTCCTTGATGACAGCAGAGGTGTAGGTCATTTTGGGCATGATGTCGTCGCCACGAGCCTCAAAGACGGCGCGCACGGTCTCGGGAGTGGCGTCTGCGCCAAACAGGTCTGCGAGCTCGGCGCGCAGCGTCTTGAGGGCGCGGGGCGTGCGGGAGAGCTCGTACAGCGCCCATTGCAGCAGGATGCTCGTCGTGTCGTGGCCGGCGAACATGAAGGACTTCAACTGGTCGATGGTTTCGCTGATCATGGCATCGCTGACATGATCCTCGTCTTGGAGACTGAGGGCCAGAACGGTGCGGCTCTTCTTGCCCTCGCGCTTGAGCTCGTTGTACTTGTCCCGGACGAACTGGGAGAGGTGGGCATCAACACGCTTCGCCATGCGACGCCGTCTCCAGCGCTTGAGGGGCTGGGCAAAGGCAGGCGTGCCACCATCATCACCCTTGTACGTGAAGAGAAGCTCGCGGTACATCCGGATGAACTCGCTTTGCTTGTCGTCGGGCAGCTGGGCGTTGAAATCGATGCCCATGGTCACGGCACCAATAATGTCAAAGGTGAGGCCAGTCAGCAGGGGCTCGAGTGTGAATGATTCGCCAGAAGCGACGAGACGGTCGAGGCTTGCGAGTAGGGGCTCCGTCTTTTCGGTGATGAGGGGCAATAGGGACATGAGATGCTGCGGGGCGAACCCCGGGTTGAAGCGGCGACGTAGGCCCTTCCAGTGGGAGCCCGTGATGCGGATAATGGCGCTGGGTCCGATGAGAGGTTCGAGGAAGTCCATGGTCGTGGGCTTCCCGAAGCTGTAGGGAAAGGCCTTGGTCTGCTTGGAGACCTGCTCAGCGACCTCGTGCGTGCGTATGAAAAGTATCGGGTGGTTGAAGGGGCGGATATCGAGCAACATGATCTCGGGGTTTCCGATGGATTCAATCATACGCCCAAAGATTTTGTCTGGCCAAGGTCAGTATCAGGTAAAGGGCAAAGGGCAAAGGGCAAAGGGCAAAGGGCAAAGGGCAAAGGGCAAAGGGCAAAGGACAGAGGGCAAAGGACAGAGGGCAAAGGACAGAGGGGGAAAGGTGGGCGACACCTACCCATATCTGTGGTCCCTGAACCGTCTGATTTGAAGTGTTCGCCGAGGACGGCCAAGTGGCCCCATACGACAGAGGGTTTGATCTGAGGAAGGTGGGCGAATTGCCGTAACCTGCGGTAGGCCAAGGCTTGATAGAGGTAGACGGCGAGGGCAAAGGCGCCGAGGCCGCCCAGCAGCCATGGGTTCGTGAGCATGGCAGCGAGGAAGCTGTGGTCGTTCGCTAGCGTATGAAAATGGTATGTGAGGATGAGATGTTGGCGATGATTGTGAACAGTGCCAGATTGCCCAGAGGAGCGTCACCGACTTGCTGGTTATGTCATTGACAGGGCGAAGCAGACGTGACACTGAAGACGCGATCGGCGCGTTGCTGATCGAACACCTCAGTCAATCGATGAGCACTGGGCTGATGATGCCTCGTGAAATGGCAGAAGAGGCTGGTGATGGATGATGACAGCTGCTGTGAAGTGTGTGGCCGAGTCCAGGGTGAGCCTTGAAACCAGGGGCTCTTTGGAAGGGGGTTTGCTGGTAGCCAACTGATGGCGGGCGTGACGGGCGATCCGAGTCCCCGTGGCGTGGCACCACCCTTGTCACTGGAGGGGAAGATTCTTGTTCTCTCTTGGTAGGTACCTATTGCAGGCGACGAGGCTGAGCTTGGTGCATCGGTAACCAGGCGTACCGAGACGGATGGCAGAGGGTCCGTGTCAATAGCTTCACTTCCTCTCTTGCTGCTGCAGGGCAAGGACCTAGAGAGCGAGCCCCAGCCCCCAGGTGTTTCAGGCTCGTTCAGCGCCCCGTGGCGGGTGTATTTGATTGTTAGGCCCTTGATTGGGCCTCGTTCAGGGCGGGCTGGCTTGACTAAGCAACCTCCATCGCTCTTACTGCCACGGCTCGACGGGCTGCCATCAAGGCGCTGCCGTCCGGCGCTCAACTATCTTGGGCAGCCATGCTACACTTGCTTGTCCAGCGTCTTGGAATGGCCAAACATGGGTAGGCACCAGCGATCACCTGACTTCATGAGCCTGCCCTGCAGCTGTGTGTTCAACTTCTATTGCGCTCGTTCACCTCATCATCCTCACACCTCGCCACGAACACCATAACCGACAGAACGGTGGAACCAGCACAAGGCCGAGTGACGATCCGGCAGCTGGCATCGACGTTGAATCATCCTGACCACAGGACCCAAAGGCCCGACGCAACTGCGCAAAATTGTCAACCACGTCGCGTTCTTTACACCCTTCTTGGTCTTCTCACCGCTCTGTTTTGAAATCTGACGGCGAGAATCGCCCTCCAGCGTTCATAAGCCCGCGTCGAGTCCCAGAAGTCTCTCTCCTCTCGTTGCCAAGCATCCCGTGGACCTCATCTCCTCGTCCTATGAAATATGGACGGCGAATATGCCCCCCCGTACCCTGCTTGTCAACAGATTCAATACGTGCAAACTCGCCACTGAGCCTACAAGTCTCACGAGTAGAAGGACATCGGATCGCCCGCAGGCACCGTTCCGCGGAGAACACGGGAGGTTGACTTCTGGTTGACGCGGACTGCCTTCAAGATGCCACCTGAAGCCGTCCCCGGTGTGTTTGGCTCGTCGTCATCATCTCGTGTGAATAACAAGAGCCCCAGTTCATGACGGACTGGAGACAGGCTAGCCATGCTAGGTCTTGGTGGGGTGGTCACCAGTCTAGGGCACGCTAAGTGCCCACCAGCATCACAATTGAGCATTATTATCACATGGAACAAGTCGCTATTCAACAACGGCCGCATGGCCCAATGGCAAGGCGTCTGACTACGAATCAGGAGATTGCAGGTTCGAGCCCTGCTGTGGTCAATACAGGCGCTCTCACGAGCGCTGATTCTTTTGCTTGTGTGATCTTGGTATGCGATCGTTGATTGTCAACTACAACCCCATGATTCTAGAAGCGATACGATTTGGCGTGTGCCAAGCAATTGGTTTTCTTTCTTTTTTCTTTTTTTCCCTATCGTTTTCTTATCTTCATTCGTCTTTGTTTTTCTCCAGAAGCCCTCTGACACAGGTATTTATTGTTCTTGACGTGTCTAAACCACGGAACAGACTGCTCCATCAGAGGACTGGGTACCCACTGTTCACTGTCGGTTCGGTGCCAAGTTCTTCACCTTGAGCAGTCGGAACTTGACCGAAAGCTGTGCGGCACACGGTGTCTCCAATTCTTGGCTCGAGCCTTACGTGGGGGGCAGGAGTGATCGCAAGTATGCAGTCATGGCTAATGACGATATCCCCATGCTGGCCGGAGCCAAAAGTACAAAACAAAAAGATATTGTGCGGCAGTCTCTATCATGGAAATGGATATTTGTGATGCCACGGAAGCCCTGCGGTCTATGGTTCCTGTTAACCTCTCAGGTTAGTACTAAAGCTCCTCGCTGGGATGGATTTTCGCGCTCAACGTGCATTCGCCACGACGGGATCGTAAGACACTGGAGACGCGCTTTCTGGCAGGCAATTCTGCTTGACAGTGTATCCTAGGCTTGGTACTCCTATTACATCAACCCTTCATAGAAAAGCCTCTCCCAATTTACGTGAATGCAAATGCGGCTTTGCGGGCAACTTCCGAACCAAGTCGCCTCAGAGACACTGTAGTTTCCCATAGGGTTGCAAGATCAACTTCATTTCCAACGCACACGGACAGGCTTTCCGCATTGGCGGCAATCAATCGCCCGAGCCTCTTAGTACTCTGGGCTCAGCCCGTTGTACCTCGTTCGCGTGCTCCAATGAAACTGACTGAAGCGATCTGAGAGGCTGTCGGACATCACGGAAGAGCAGCCAAGTTCCTTCCCAACGCGGCGCAGGGGGGGAGTCTGCAGGCCCGGATCATATCCGATGCATTCGCCGGCCGGATCTTGCCCGTGGACATCTGTTTACTCGCTCATACGATACTATTACCGCAGGACAGCGTGTATATAAACGTGCCTATAATCCATCGCATCATTTCTTTCTACTTTCGTGTCTCTACTCTTACACAACAAAGCCCACGGCTCTGATGACTGAGCTACTTGACACTGGAATAGTCTACATCTCCGAAAATTCCGTTTCCACGTCCCCGAATAGCAACGCACGGCACCGCGCCCACCTAGGCTCGGCACATCAGGGGCAGAGACACATGTCACACGAAACAAGGTTATCGGGATGCATGCGTTATCAAACGGAATCGCAACAGACGTTATTTATTGTCTTGTCTACCCTTGGGGGTTCTGTAAGAGGGAATGAATGTTTGGGGGCAAATACCAACGGTAGAGACAGCTCTGAAGCAGTGTGCCGGTTTCTGTGAATGACTAGGTCATCCGCATAAAGCATCAATGAAGTACGGGTGAAAATCAAGCCACTTTGACAGATATAGGAAAAGCATAACTGAGGACAAGGCGCATCATTCGTGGATGGCGCCCATTCGGACGCTGAGGGGTTCAAGACACGACATGGTTTGGAAGACGTCGGGGTTCACATGGAACCCCTCCGCGCCGAAAGTCTCGAGAAAAGGCAGATGGTGCGGGTTAGGGATTTGCGCAGTCTGGGTATCGGACATGGGACCAAGTGGCACCTCTCCAAACAATGCTGACGGAATCCCAAAGCTCGACATTGGAGGAGTCGTGGGTGCATTGGCCAAACCAAGTGCGTCGACGTCGATACCAAGACTGACAAGTTCTTTCGTGATGAGGGTAAGAGCGCTTCCAATGACTAAGATACACTGTTAACCTTATTGCAATCATGAAGAGAGAGTCTAGAAGGCACATACCTGGGTTAATCCGCTTGACTTGGCTCAGACTACGGACACAGTACTCAAGTCGGCGCAGCGCCTGCGCGTCGTCGACGTTCGACTGAACCTGGAGGAGGAATATAGAAGCGGCGATGTAGACACTGTAGGATATCGACAAGACGCACTGGTCAATCCCGAACGACCTGCAGAAGAGGTCGAAGATTGACAGGATAGACGTCGCTGACGTGACACACTCGACGAGATAGTTCTGGATAGGCTCGAGGTCATCTGCCGCAACACTGTTTCTCTGTGACAGCATGGGCCTGTAGAGTAGAATCTTGAACGTGTGGTACAACGTGCTGGATATCGTTAGACGCACTCTTAAGCGCACACATGGCAAGCAACTCACTTCAAGCTGATAATGTGCGACGGAGGAGCCAGGGATGGCAGTGATGTTGTGTTGATCTTCAGATGCACAGGCAACTCTTCCCACCATTCCTGCAGAGCAATCTCCTGATCAACCAGACACTCCTGCATCTCTGCCTGGCTATTGGGTCGTACAGGATCATACATGTGGACGAGGATCTCGTTGAAGATCTGCGACAGCTGGCACACATTCATAAAACATGTGATTGAGTGGGCTGGTGAGGGTGGATATTTCCACCCTCCCTCAGGGACCATGCCAAACGGCGACCAAGTCTCAGTTTCGGACGAATCGTCAACTAACAAGAGAAATCAGTATGGCACAGGTCGTCCTCGATTCAAGTAAACTCACGCATGATTTGAGGTGGTGACACTGAAGACTGCTGAAGGGAGGGCGAGCGGCCGAGATACAGACTGATCATCTTGTCCCAGAAGTAACAGCTCCAGAACACGCGATGGCGAATCTCGACATCTTCCTCACTAAGTTGCACGGAACCAGGATATCGCTGGCCGTCAACGCAGATACCGAGGTGATCAATAATGCGGAAGGCTAGACCACTGTAGATCCAAGCCTGTGCGCTGTTGCCCACACTACATTCTTGGGCACTGAGGAGAAGCAGTGTCTGAACAGTCGGGATGGAGTATTGACCCTGACTCAGCTCGTCGAACAGCATACTTCGAGCATGTTTTCCAAAGATGGCGCCCCCCTCGTATGATTCGTCGAGAATCTTCTTCGTCGCGGGATCGCTTCGGCCCCAGCGGATAGAGTGCGAAAGGACAGCATTCATCAAGGTGTGAGAGTAGTACGGTCCCAGCGTCTGCAGATCGCGCGTAAACGCGGGCCGGTAGATGAAGTTGAAGAGCGGCTGGATCCAGCACCAATGAACGTTAAGGAGATATTGAAATGGTTCCTGCAGGGTGTTAGCGGCAAGGCAGGAAGAAGACTCGCGACGAGCACAGATCAAGGGAACAACAGGACGCGTTGCAGGTCAAACTCACGGGAATATCAGACAGGTTCTCCAGCGCACGTTGCTGCCAGGCATTAGCGACGAGGCGCTCCCGGCGCTTGGTCACTTGGTTCAACGATGAGGACAGGCCACGGAAGCCGGGTGGGCGATCATCGGGAAGTTGGAAAAAGCTGGTGGTGCCGTGGTAGGTAATACCTCCCTTTTCGTCAACGGTCAAGCCCTTGAAGCTCTCGCTGACAAAGTCCTCATAGCCGGGCTCCAGGCCGAGAGGGTCTGGCGTCACGGAATGGCTGCGTGAGGTGTTGGGAGGCGAAGATGTCTGGTAACGCTGCTCCGTGGGCGCTGGGAGGTCGGCGCGTGCGAGGGCGAGTTGAGACTCGAGCTCCTTGATGCGCTGCTCCAGGCGGGCAGTGTATGACAGTGTTGGGTTTCTAATGCGAGGGTCAGTGGTCTCAATGCCGCTGATGCCTGTCTTTGCGTTGATGGCAGCATTGCTTGTCTCTCACAGCTTGTAAACACAATCTTCAAGGCGGGCGGCGCATCTGTTGCATGTTGGCTGCTCGCCGCCACACTTGACCTGTGGTGATGGTCAGTTCACTGCACAAGTTCTCTCGATTTCTCTCAGGTCCGGAGGTTGGCCGAGAAGCGGGGGCGGTTTGTCCGGGCAAGGGACGGCAAGGACAAGAAGTGACGGACCTTGCGTCGACGGCATGGTTCACACGAGAAGGCGCTTTTCTTAAGAGTCCTCATTCAATGGAAGAGATGGCGATGATGGTCTTGGGGGATGAAAGACGATGGTCGCAAACGCGGTGCGCGGGGGTTGCCGTTGAGAAAGAACAGCAAGATCCAAATCTTGATCTGGACAGTGGCTGTCGCGAGTGATGAGGAATTAGGAAGTGACGAACCCCAAAAGGCAAGCACCACAGCGCCCCAAGCCCCGCACTAGACCCCCCCGGACAGACCCGCTACATGAGGGGGAGCAGGCGCTGGTCGCACTGTGCCTTCCACGACACGAGGGGCATACCTGCCTTTGTTGTAGCGCGACTCGCCCACCGGCTGGTGGCGCCTGCCCTGCTGATGTCGATGTTTGTCGTTTTACAGCTTTCGCTGGCGGTTAGGCTCCATGACGATCACCTCAGACATGACATCAAGACGTCACCGGCCTGTGTTTTGTTCTACTTTCAAGGCCGCATAGCAATGTGGCACATGCCCGACTTAGTGTGCCACTATCCACCACAATAGCCCTCCGTAGCACTGTTCCGTTCACTGAACGACCGCTCACTGCACATTCCCGCTGAGGTTATCATCCGTATTGGCCCTTATCAATTCTCTACTGTTCTTCACCAATGACAGCTCCAGTCTGACCTTCCTTTGAGCCCTCGTCGTTCCCGCCGTTTGCCTTACGAGGATCAAGCATCCGGGTCACTCGAGTAGAGTGGGGGTCACCGCCCGGCTACCGCTCCGTCCCCTCACGGACCGAGCGGGAAATAACGGACTCGGCAACTCCGCCATCGACCGGCCCTGAGCCGTGCCCCTTTTTCACTACCATGTTCTCCTCGTAGATCGATCCAGACTCTCGGTTGAGTTAAGCTCAATACTCGTAGACCGAGCTACTAGCTCTGGAGCCGCAAAGCGTTCTTTCGCTGGGTTGCATGGTTGGCGAGGGAGCCAGCGGAGCTCATGCTTTGAGACGGTCCTTGCGGCGGGGAGCCTGGGGTAGCCTGGGTTCAAGGTCACATTGGGGGGCACCACGATGCTTGAGAGAGCCAGTAACATCAAGTTGGAACGTCAGCAACGGGGGTGACAAGGGGGGTGCGGCGCTTGTGGTAGCGCAGGTCGGGGAACCTCCGAAATTGTTCGACGAAGGTGGACTTCGGGAGCTTGTCCTGACGGAGCATTCAACTTGGATTGAGCACGGTGATTGCAAGGGAGACACATGCTTCCACGATCGTCCGATTCAAGAGATCCAACCACAGTGAAGGAGTCAGTTATGCTGAAGCGACATATATGCATGGCCCTCGTTTGCGTCCATCTTGGAGGCAGGTTCGCGAGGGTGCTAAACGACGGAGCCTAGGCGGAACCGTGGCAGCCGAACACAGAGGACGATAAGCTGCAAAGTCTGATAAGCATGGGTCCTTGAAAACCAGCTGAATTTTTTCGTCATTTATGGCACTCCGCCTTTGGACTTCAGGGCGACAAACTTGCTTGCTCCTTGTCCTGCCTGATAGGCAGAGTGAGATTACTGCTGACATCATCAAACACTTTATTCTTGACCACAATTGCACGGTACCGTCTCTTCTTCACAACCGGGACGAGCCCAGTAGTAATGAAAAGATAGAAAAGAACACGCCTGTCAGACGTCCGTCAACACCCACCCCGCCCGCGCGCCCAAGGGCAAGACCGCGAAGCAGGGACGAGATCATCAAACGCCCTCTATACAGCTCACCCGAGAAGGGCAAGAGCCGCCACCTTTGCAGGCAGTGCGAGGGCAACCAGAGCCATTCACTCTAGGGTGTCGAGGATATCAATCATCAACCAGGGTGGGATCTGTGGCTCTTTTGGAGAACCCAGAGTAGGTCGAATACTATAGAAATGATTCTCCTGAGGGGTGGGTTAGCGGCCGTCTTGCTACGCTGCCATGCGTGTGTGCTGGGTGCTTCTAGTAGGGGGTGGCTTACTGAAGTATTGTCGACATAAGGAAAAAAAGAAGAAAAAGGTGAAAAGCGGCGCTGGGCCGTCACATTATATAGAGGTCTGACTGGCGGTCTGGTGGGGCAGAACTGGCAGAATCAGCACCCGCTTCTGGCCAATGAATGGCGGGCGACGCAAAAATCGAGCTGCAGAATTGGGTGGCAGGTGCGACATGGTACGTGCTGGTCCCTATCTTATCTCAAACCGTGAAATTTCTCGTCTGCAACGACTTGAACGAAGTACTTTCATCCTGCAAAGAGCTTCTCGGCCATGGATGGGGCTAAGATCCGAGTTCATCTTGAATTCAGGGCGAAATGAAGCCTGTGATGCAGTCTTGCGGTTTATTTTGGTAATTTTTGGTGGTTGGTTCGCAGTGTCGAGAAGCAGTACGCAGCTGCACTCTTCGACTACCTGCGTACATTCACGCCTATACACCTGATCAGAGAAACTCAGGATTTTGCTCACGCTTCATACCAGCCTGTTCTGCACGCATGGGTTTCTTGAAACCTCGTCGTGAACACTACTCCCGATGATGCACCATCTCAGTCTTCCTGATACAGTTTCTCTTCGAGAACCCATTCTCTGACGGCTGCCGTGATGAACTTGTCAACCACCTTCTCGTCTGCAGCGTCACGCCCCTTCAGCGCCTGCCTCACCCTGGTGCTGCTGACAACCTCCTCGTCGCCATCCACCAGCTCAACTCGCTCGGCCCACTCTCGTCGCCCGCCCGCCTGCTCGAACCCCCCTTCCCTCAACCCTGCGAGATAACCCTCCTGCTCCCCCTTCCCACCCCAGTCGCCGCCGACCCGCATCGTGATGCGCACCTTTGCTCTGTCCAGGAACGGCCCGAGCGCCTGGGCCATGCCGCCAGGATAGTATTTCGGGTCAAAGATCCGCACGAGCGTGTCGTAGCCCGCCAGGAACACCTGCTCGGCGTCCCCGTACCGGCCCTCGTCCGCAATGGCCGCGCTCTTGTCTGGAAAGTACGGCAGCGTTGTGAGACCAAGGTCGACCGCAATGCCGTCGCCCTCGATGGCGTCTGTGAGGTCGAGTGCAAAGTGCTGCATCAGCGCCATGCGCGTAGGGAAGGCAACGGGCTGGGGCGCCTTGTCGGCATTGTTGACCGCGAGGAGGAGGAGCACGCGGGTATCTGCGATGGCGTGAGAGGCAGCGCGAATGGCCGAGGCGGCCATGCGTAGATGTGCTACTGTTGGCGGGTTGAAGGACGAGTCGAGGACGATGAGTGTCTTTGGTGGTGTGGATGAAGAGGAGGGCGGGGTTATCTTGGAGAAGACGGTGAAGGCATCGCGACTCTGCTGGAAGGCCGTGAGCTGAGCCTTGAAGATTTGCAGAAGCTGCTGACGCGAAGGACCAGACATGGTGATTTGTACTGAGACTGGTGCTGTGTTGAATGATGGCTGACGTCGTGGTCAGTGAAACTGTTGATGTTGGGTCCATGGTAGGAGGTGTGTTTTGCCCCACATTGTGCAGTCAATTGGCTTGTGAGACCCAGATCACCTACACTCTTGTATGCCCGAACCGAAGTCGGGTCGCATGGGAGCTCTGACACGACGCAGACTGGCCTATGATTTCGCGTTAATGGTGTGTTTACTTTACTTGAGGAAGGAAAAAATGAGACCACATCGATACTGCTCTACATTATAAAAGGTATTACCTCTGCCTTCCTGGCCATCCGTAGTTCTAGACTCGGTAGTCGTTCTGTTGATTGAAAGATCAGGATGCAAACAATCGTGGGATTTAGTCAATCAGTGCGCGCCTAAGTAAGCTTCCAGATGACGTCCCATTGTTCAGTCACGACTGTTTACAGGTCAGCCTCCACTTCGTCAGATCGGCGAGTGATCGATGCTTCGGTCTGTAAAAACAATGACCATCTCACTCGAAGCAGGCAAATGTTGGAGACGTAATAGGCAAGGTAGTAAGATACCGGGACACTAGATCTTATTACCACCCCCCCGGGATCTCTACAACGTTTACCCAGCCACCCATAGCCTTCTCACGAGCCAAGAGCATCGATATCACCCCTTCAGTACGCTGGCGTTCGAAAGAGACCCCTCTGACGAACCCCTCGACCTGTCAGATCTGTCCTCAACCAAAGGGTTCATTGTTTGCTGGAAGCCGGCATGCCAACGGATCATGCACTACTCTACAGTATTGCTCTGTCTAGCTTGCTTCAGAAATACTTCCGGCCGGCCTGATGATTTCCTGACGGGGAAGAAATCGCTCCTGACGCCCACCCTTTGGACCTAGGGGACGTGAGGGCTGCCTGTCATTGAATTCAACACCCTCTACGAGATATAACTGAGTGGTTTGAAGATGAGCAAAAGTCTTTTCTTACAGGCCCTGCTCACTAAAGATAATCAAGATCCATATCATTCGGCCTGAATCGCTGATCGTGATCGAACCAAGGCAAGCGAGGTCACAGATGAGGTCTCGCATCAGCGTCCAAATATCGTTCTCCACATTAAGTGACCTACTCCCAATAAAATAGCAAGCACAAAAATCGCAAAGCAAGCGTCAGAAAGAGAACCAGGAGCGGCTGGAGAGTTGGGAAACCCATATCCTTCAATGCCGGTCCCGTGAACCCGCCGCCGGACCGTTGCTATAAGAGCAGCCAAGCGCTCATATTCGCAACCAGGGGGGATGGCTAGGAGCGAGGGGTCCCTTTGGCTGGCGCAGCACGCCGACAACCTACAACCGCCTCGTCGGTGACATGGCCCGGTCGTCACAGTGCGAAACTCTCCCCACGACGAGAACAAAACAACGGCTCAGCTGACGGGGCGGATCCAAGTGAACATGATTCATCTATGCGCGACAGAAAAGACACGGAAAAGCAGGAGCGCAGCAGCATGGCAAGAAAAAAGCGAACGACGCAGCCCGGTGCCAGATCCCAAACCAATTCCCACAACACCTCTTGAGAGTCTGCCTCTCTATCCCCAGTTGGTCTCCGTCTCGTCCTTGCTCGGCTGTACGGTCCTCCCTTTTGCCCACCAATGGGGAGAAGAGAAGACCTTCCGCTTCCATGCCAATTAAAGGAATTCGGGGAGGAGTTAAAGAAAATGGGGCGACTTCAGAAAAAGCCATCAAGTGAGCCGTTTAGCAGCAGCCGCCGCTCGGGGACGAAGAGACGTTCTGGCCGGGGCCGACCTGGACGCTGCGCTTCTCGTTGTTGGCGGTCGTGGTGCCCATGCGCTCCTTGATTTGGCGCGCCATGGTGAGGAACGCCTGCTCGACGTTGCTAGCGTTCTTGGCCGAAGTCTCGAGGAAGGGAATGCCGAGGCTGTCGGCAAATTCCTGTAAGATGCAAATCAGCACCATATCTATATTTGAAACCCGAGCTTACACAATGCGATGGGTCTACGCAACGACTTGATGTCACATGTGATCGGTGGAGGAGAGTCCATACCTTGGCAACGGTGTACTCGACAACCTTCTTGTCGGCCATATCGCTCTTGTTGCCAACGAGCAGCTTGTTGACGCCCTCAGTGGCGTAGCGGTCGATCTCCTGCAGCCACTGCTTGACGTTGTTGAACGAGTCCATGTCGGTGACATCGTACACGACGCAGATGCCGTGGGCGCCACGGTAGTAAGACGAAGTGATGGTTCGGAAGCGCTCCTGGCCGGCGGTATCCCACTTTGCGGCACGTCAGCAAGCCCGGCACCTCGAGCATTCGACCGGTCAAGGCCAGGTCATAGTTCGGGCCAAACTCACAATCTGCAGCTTCACCGTCTTTCCGTCAAGCTCTATCGTGCGGATTTTCTGCGCCCAGCGTCAGCGATGGTCTTTTCATGCCGTTATATGGGAAGGCAGAGCATCGTACGAAGTCGACACCAATGGTAGAGATGTAAGACTCGGTGTAGGTGTCGTCGGCGAAACGGAGCAGCAGGCAAGACTTTCCAACACCGGAGTCACCGATGAGGAGGAGCTTGAAGAGGTAATCGTATCTACTATCGCATCAGTCGAGAGAGTCGCGTCGATTTGCAGACAGCCGATCGTTTTGCTGCTGTCGGCGGCTTGAGGGAAGGATGGAAACTCTGTAGACAAAGGGTCAGCTTGGCGCTTTCTTCGAAGTGGGCTGGCAGACCCATCGCAAACGCAAAGGGGGGGGGCCACGTACCACTCGGGGTTCATTATGGCGGTCGGAAAGACTGGAAACTAGCGTCGTGGTGTGATTGTTATATGGGAGCGCAGAGAACGCAGAGTCGGTCGTCTTGGGGGGAGGGGCGATGGATTAAAAGGCCGTCGTGATGAGGTGTCGGGGTAGAGGTCAAGTGAGCCAGCGTCGGGAAGGCAAAGGCGAAAGGCAGTCAGGTTTAGGTTGGCAGGCAGGCTGCTACGTCAAGCACAGCCGTTCACTGGTTCACTGCCAGAACCCCCCCAAGAGACAAACGGTCAGGGGACCAATCGACAGCCGTGGCGGGACGTTAGCGCTGTTCGACTCGAAACACGTGATGGTACCGGGGGCGTCACTCGGTACGTACTCTCTTATCTGTACAGTTTATCGCCTTGTTTCGGCCCTGGCCGATCTGATGAGCACATGGCACATGGCACGTTGCTGACTCGACATCTCATAGGTACACTATTGTTGGCTGTGTCTGATGCGAGCATTGTATCACCGGCAGTCACTGAGGAAGGATTATGGATGACTAGATCTACCTCATGCACGACGTTGAACAAGTTCAGGAATGAAAATATCTGAATAACTTTGCTCCGCACTTGAGGCTCCAATATTCCAAAATGTGTGGCGCGTCATGTCAAAAGTTTGCCATCCAGTAGTATTCAAGCAGCATCTTGCCTCTTAACAGCCTGCAGCCCTCTCATGGCAACTGTGTACTCGACTGCTCCGTCCAGCCCCTGCCCAGCCGCCTGCACATGCGGCGCAAAAACAACCTTCATCCAGCGCCGCCAACTTGTCGATGACGGCAGGCTCCCATCCTCTTCGTCGCCAGCATACTCCTGCATTCCATAAACAGCACGCTTGAATAAGGCTATGCGACAGGCAATCTGCGTCGACCACACCAACCCCAGACTCGGTGTTTTGAGACTATAGTCGGCGAGAGGATCATCGCCCCATCCGGTAAACCACCTCTGCTGGTGGTCCAACTCAAGAGTAGGCAATGCCAGAGGCCCCGGGTCATCAAACCTTGGTGGCTCAGGCATGCTGGACCGGAAGGCTTCAGCTATCGAGGACGGCGGCTCAAGCATTTCGGGTACGGCTGGCGGCCGGCCTTTGCTTCTCGAAGCCAGGGGGCTCTCCTGCGTCATCCTACCCAGATAACTGCTGCGGGGTGGTGCCATGCGGGATGATCTGGGGACAAGCGGACTCGAGAAGCGGTCGCCGACCTGGTTAGCCACAACAACGGCAAGGTTGTACTTTTGGGCCAGATCTCGTAAGAGAGCGCCCAGCCTTATGAGCTCGTTGGAACGGGCTCCCATGTTGGACCCGTGGTTCTTAGTCACGCCACGTTCAAATTCAGCGCGATAGTTCGCGGCGACGGAGTCTAGAACAAGAAGCCCGATGTTGCTGCGTTCAACTTCGACGGGAACCTGGAAGCGGAGTATGTGCTCCTGCGACTCGAGGTCAGCGACACTGCCCACGATGATGGCATCTGTCGTGGGGCGCTCCTCTTCGGAAAGACCCGAAAGCAGAGGATTGGATGCTAGGATCTGCCTGAGTCTAGTGGTAGAAAGGGGTGCTTCGGTAGAGATGTAGAGGGCACGTCGGCCCAGGCCATGGGGCGAAGGGAGCTGAACCGCGAGCATGAGAGACAAAAGAAACTGGGTCTTGCCAACGCCGCTCTCGCCCGCGATTTCCGTCACGTAGCCCGTGGGGATGCCGCCGCCCAAAGCCCTATCCAAGTCGTCGTCGAGCGTACTAATGACCAAAGGTCGATTAGTCAGTTCCTCCAAGGTGCGCTTGAGAGGTGAAGATGACGCTGCTGGAACCCTCGAGACGCCCAGGTCTCGGTGCAGAGCAGCGACTACTGCATTGGAGAGTCTGGAAACGTCCAACAACGGAAGCTGTGTCCGTTTCCCAATGTCGGCGATGTCCAGGGAGAGTAGGTCAGCGGTCGTCACTCCATGCCTCTCGAGGACCGTGATGAGATGCGCAAACGGGCCATCGGGGAAGTGCGGCAGGACGCGAAATAGATCTGTCATGGCACACAGTGGGTGTGCGGAAGGAGAGTGTGGGAAGCCGCCAGAAGCATGTTCAGCGAATGACGATTGGGCGAGTGTTCGCGTTCCAGAAAGCCTGGTGGCTGGTGTTCCAGAAAGTAGTACTATGGCCGCCGAAGGATTTTCGTCCAGCCAGGCCAGAAAAGAACATAGAAACTTGTCGACGACGAGCTGAGAGGGACACCGAGAAGGCGTCCAATAGACGGCAAGTCAAGGGCGTTGCGAGGATGGCAGACTGCGAATCATCACCAGGTGGCGTTCAGCTAGATCGTGCTACCAGCCCTAGGAGATTGGTAGCCGTGGTGGAACGGTGGCTTCTGCTGACCGCGATGAGGGTGTATAGCTGTTGACGCTGTCTTGGTGATCGCGTTGAGAAGGTGGTGACTGCCGACGCGATGGCGCGAGTCGTGATGCCGTGAAGTGGGGTGCATGCATGCATTCAAGAGTCAAAGAGCACTGCGCTTACATCAGCAGTCCCGCTCTGGCGCCGCTGCCGGGCCACCAGGAACAAGCGTCAGGGTCCCTAACGCCCAAAGCGACCGCCGTCTCACAGCTCTTCGTGACTTTCTCCACCTCCACCACTGCCAGTCAATAGCACACCAATCCAACAGATGCCATCGACACTTTCGACTATGAACTCAAATGCACGTCAAATTAGGCCTCTGCGGAGAGCTTATGCCCACGAATCCCCCTCTGGTGATACCCTCCCACAGACAATGTGGCAGCACCAACGAGCCTTCTGCTATTTGCGTCCTAGTACCGCCCTTTCGTTTCCTCAAACGGCCGACTTTGATTACCCCAGCGCAGATCTTCCTTCGTACCCACCCTGACCCAAAGGCCTCGTGAGCCAGTGGAGCTTCTTGGCTTCTTGAAGTGTGGCAGCGGAGTATTCCGCTCTGGTGTTGGTGTTGCGTTGACCAGGGCTACCAGAACCAGACAGGCATCGAGCATCGTGCATTCACTCCGTCTACGATTTCTCTACCACTGATGGCTGAGAGGGAAGGAGACGAGTTCGGCTTCCTCAAACTAGTCGCTGGTACTTTGAAGGATTATAGCCTGGTATAAAGCTACCGGGTTCTTCGATGTCGCGACTTCCCGTGGCACCACCCACCTGTACCAGTGCCTCCACCAAAAAACGCCGCAGCTATCCGTATCGAGCATGGCTGGCCAGCAGTGGAAGGGTCTCCATGTGTTGAACGACGCTGGTGACCAAGCACGAGCACGCCGCGACGCCGCTTTGTCTTCCTCCCATGTCCTCGTTGGTCGTGGCCCTGTCAGTCGATATACCTTGTTCCCTATTTCGTCCTCGGTCTCCTCGTCGCAAAGGCCGCATCAAGAGCGACCGAAAGCCGGCAACGGACACACATACACTCTGAACCTTGGAGAACATGGCACTCGAGTCACGCTTTCTCTTCGCTTCTCGCTTCTCTTCTCGTCTCAACGCCAATCGCCCATCACGAAACCCACACAAGAGGGTCCAATAGTTTGCCCGGCTTATGGACCATGGGCACCGGCTGCTCCCTCCTTCGGCTACTTTTGTTCTCCCACGACCCTTGTCACGCCCTGTGTCGTTCGGTTGGGTGCAGCGCTGCTCTCAGCTCCTGCAAGCCACAATTGTGAGCCTTCGCTGCAATTGGCCCCGACACACCCATGATGCCTGAAGCCATGTCAATCTCTCTGTTGGCATTTCACCAACCTGTCCACATTTTGTCTCAATCGGCTTAGCCCAAGGCTGAGTCCCTGCGCTCCAGGGCTCACTGCGTGTTGCTCGACCTAGCGGCAGATACAGCGGCGGCTCCTTTCTCTCTCTCTTCTGCTCGACCCCGTGTTCCTCATCGGAGGCGGCATGCATGGGGCTGGGCCTTGGGTGGAGGCGGCGTTGGCGTGGACATGGGGCGAGTGAGCTCTTGGTGTTGATGCTCTCTTTTATTGCTTCGGGCGCCCCCCGATCCCGCTCGCCAGGCTCCTTTTCCCTTCTCGGCCTCTGTCTTGTCGTGCAGCTCAGATCGAATTCGCTGTAAGAGCACGTGGATTTCCGAGACATCACGACCGTAGTTCTTCGACGATCATGGGCAAACGTCTTCTGTACCTGGCCAGCGCCGTGGTGCTCACCTTCGAGGTTTCTGCCGACCTCTACCGCGTTCCCGAAGCCACCACTGTCTTCAACTTTCCTCTCGATCAAGTCAACCCAAGGCCGACACCAGCGCCATATGACTTCCTCAAGGCGCGCCAAGAAACCAGCAGCAGTCAAACCGTTCTGGTCGCTCCCAGCAACACTTGCGGCTACGTATCCGGCCGACCCGGTGCTGCCTTTACCTGCAATGGCGCCGACGCCAACTGCTTGTTCTTCACAGCCGACAGCACCTTGCGCGGAGCTGTAGCATGCTGCAACTCAGATGTGTGCGGTGCTCGAGTGACATGTTACGATCGTGACGCCATTGCTTCCTCCAGTGTCTGCGACAATGGCTGTCTAGTCGATACTTTCACGCTCAAATGGTAAGGTGAAACGTAACCGTGTTGCTGCTCATCTTGACTCACATATGCCACAGCACCGAGTCATCAGCCCGCTACTGCAACACCATTTCGTTTTCCTCCAACATCTGGGACTATTTCTGCAACTCGATTGAAATTTCAACACCACAAGTAGCCACTACAACGTATCAAGGCCAGTCGAACGCAGAAGACTGGGCTCCCCTTGTTCTGACCGGCTCGGGTGAAAGCTCGGTGACACTTCCTCCTGAATCTGCTCGAACCCCTATCTTTGACGACGAGTCGTCACGGTCGCCAGCACCTAGCAGCACTGGCGGCAGTACGACCGATGGCGGCAGCGGCAGCAGCGGCGGTGGGTCCTCGACACCCGTCGGTGCCATTGTTGGTGGTGTCGTGGGCGGCGTTGCAGCCATCGCCATCGCGGGCTTCCTCATCTGGTTCTGCCTCCGCCGCAAGAAGAAGCAGGAGCAGGCCAACAACCAGCCCATCCCCCCGCCTGTCATGCAACAGGCTCCCGGGCCCCAGAATTCCTACCCTCCCAACTCGCCGCCTCCGCAGCACCCCTCGCCGAACAGCCATCAGTCTTATTACGACCCCAAGTTCGGCGGTTATGTCCAGAACTACCAGCAGACCCCCTCTCCCGGAAACGATGCCTACTCCCCCGGCTTCCAACAGCAGCAGCAGCAGCAGGCTCTGTATGGCCAGCAGCAAACCTCGCCAGGAGGCTACTACCCCGCCGGCGCTGCGGTACCGGACCGACAGGACACGACGAGCCCGAGCAGCCTGTCCGGCAGCACGGCGCACAGGCTGAGCACCGTTGCGCCAACGAGCCCAGGAAGCGTGCAGGGTGGAGGCGCATATCAGCAGGGCGCTCCGGTGTACGGCCATCAGGGGCAGACCCAGCCTACCATTCACGAGGCGCCAAACGGTGGTGATCACCACCGGGGACAGATGCACGAGATGGCGTAAGCCGCCTGCTTGCACGTCCGCATACTAGTTGTGGGAATACATCATCATGCCGGTTGGTTCAGTGGGCTATCCCCCTCGCCTCTGCCTGCCAGTTATATATATATATGGGTTTATTTAGCGTCATGGACTGATGATGGAGTTCAAGTCATCAATGTTATGAAATAGAATTTGGCATCATCTTGAAATGGGGATTCCGCTGTACCGTGACAACGTCATCTGGCCATTTCGGGCAACAGTTTTCGGAGATGGACGTGCACCAGCGGCCGGCAAATCGCCACTGCGAGAGGAATGCTGCCACGCACCTCGAGAGAAACGTGCCAAAAGGTGCGGCTTGCGTATTTGCAAACTGACGGCACGAAATGTCTTGCCAGCATGGGATACCACCATGTCAAATCAAATCGCCGAGCGACATTCACTCAACTCCCCAGTTTAAAAACCAGAACAAGCGTAATCGGTATCGTATGCAACCTATCAACGCCTCCCTCCCTCCACAGACGCCTCGCAGCCAAGCAAGCTAAGTCCACGAAGCAAACCGGTTCTACTCGTCACGTCTCCAGCACCATATCTGCCATCTTTCCCACCTTGCGTGGGTTCCCGTCGCCACGTCAGCGAACATCATCTGCGCATCTCTCTAGCCAGGAGCGAGGGTCTAGTAGTCGCTCAGACGAAGCTTCTTGCCAACATCGCGCCTCCGCGCCTGCACGGCCGCCCGTTCCGACGGCTTCGTCTCCCCGCCGTCATACCCCTCACCCCGCGCCTTGAGCGCCTGCAGGAGCATGCCGGCGTCAAAGAAGCCATCTGGGAAAAAGGTCAGCATGGTCATCGCGAGGGAGAAGGGCCTGAGCAAAGCTCTAGAGCATGTTGAGGAATGGGGAGTTAGACTTACATCCGCCGAGCTCGTCGTCGCTCATGGCCACGCTCTCCTCCGTAGGCGACATGGTTCCCACCGTCGATGACCGCGCGAAAGAGGGTTTCAGTGCGTCAAGGCCCGTAATGATCCGTCCGCGCGACTTCATCCTGTGCGTCGCGGGAGGCTTGGGCCGTTCCGTGTCCTCGAGTTCCCGTGCGCGGGTCTGCTTGGCGCCGCCGGAGCTTGGGCCTGTGCCGCGCCTCGTCGTGATGCGGAGCACCCTGCGCATTTCGAGGAGGTAGCTCTCTAGAGTGTCCACGAACCGCTTGGTCTGTCGGTGCTTGCTCGAAATACAGATGCTGATGCCCTCGTCTTTGATAATATAACCGATACCGAAGCCGTCACCAGATGTTGGACCAAAGCCAAAGTGGCGCAGCGAGGGGTTGCCGCAGTTCGAAGTCGAGAGTATTGTGTTGTTGAGCTTGTCCCAGCCCGGATCAGCAAAGAGAAGCGGCAAGGGGTTCACGTCGCGGCTACGCGAGTTGGTACTGTCGCCACGCTGGCGGCGCCCAGGGGAGGGCGAGATGTCATTGGCGTCTTGTTGAGAGAGCACCGAGTCGCGGCCGGGGCTGCCAACGGCGGAACCGGGATCGCGCTCGGAGTAGCCATCGATCGACGAGTTGTAGCCATTCGAGCTGAGTCCCCCGCCCATCTCCTCATCTACAAGCTTCTGCCAGACGCAGAAGAGAGCATAGAGGTGACGGTCACAGCCTTGCGCTTTGGCGCACTCACGCGTGTTGGCCGTGTGCTTCTGACACGCCTTGCGCAGAGCCTCAACCTTTTGCTCGGCGGGGTTGTCGGCCCAGAAGGTTTGAACAAAGTTGATTGACTCGGCCGAGACGCTGCGGATGGCTTCTGTGCGGCCGTGTAGGAACGTCTTGGTCATTGCAGGTTCGTACGTGCATTCGACACGGCCATAGAGACCATAGTAGGCTGCTTGGAAGGCCATTTGAACGAACGCGTCGGGGGAGAAGCCGGTGGAAGTGATGAAGTTCTTGCCGTAGTGCTTGAAGTCGAGAGTGCGGAATTCGTTCTGCTCAATGAGGTCCGCAAGGCGTGTTTCGGCGAATCGCACAGCAACGTTGAGCTCGGGCACCATGTCCCATTCCAGCTTGTGCGGCGTCGTGTGGACATCACCAAAGCTGGAAGGGTCGCGCTTCGAGGGATCTGGGCTGGTGGTAGCCCAGAGCGTTGGCGCCTGTCCATTGATCGTTCGGGCAAACCGAAGGATCGTGTCTGTGTAGACATCGCTAGCGAACCGCAAGACCGTGTGGCCATCAACACCAGTATGCTCAAAGTTGATGCCCGCGCTACCGTTCTTGCAGACAATAATCTGCAGCTTGTCGTACCATCGGTTGGTGCATGTCCCAATTTGCACGCCCTTCTCAACCTCGCTCGTACCGCAGAGCATGTTGCCGCACAAGGCATCGACGTCGGCAGGCTCAGTGTAGTCGAGACAGAGTACGAATAACGCCGAGTCCACAATCGCAAGACCGTCAGCGTTGTTGGAGCCCTCCTCACGCGTCAAGACGTCACGCAAGCCAGACCAGATCTTTCGGTTTTCGGTGCTGAGGACACCGAGAGCGCCCTTGGCGGCATCCTGAATCCCAGTCTGTGCGGCGTCCTCAATGATCGTCTGGAGGTTGATAGAGATGTCCTTTTCCGTCATAATGACATCAGAATTATCATCCAGAACATCAAAATAATAGAATTGGCCGTGGCACAAGACAACGATGTGTTTGGACTCGGGGTCCTGAACGATTTGGCATCCATTCTCGGTAGGAACACGAGCAGTGCCGAAGAGTCGAGAGAATTGGTACATGCATAACGGCGTGCCCTTGATCGTGTCCGGGGGCAGCTCTTCCCTGCGCACGGCACGAACGAATTCCAGCGAAGACGCCACAAGCGACGCGGCACGGGTGATTTGGTTGTTTCTCGCAGGCGTAGGGTCATCCTCGAGCAGAAAGAAAGGGTTGAGATTCAGGACGACGGGGTTGTCGTAGTTGAGATACGAATCGTACCCTTAGCTTCGGTCAGCAGTCATTCATGATACGTGAAAGAAGGTACTTACAGAATTGTTCAATGTAGCTCGTCTTGCTCTCGGCATATCGCTTGAGCTTCTCTTGCAGCTCAACGCCGTCCTGCTTGAGAAACTCGGCCACAGCGGCCTTGGTCTCGCCGTGCTCTCGTGCATTTTGTAGAGGCTTGAGTGCCGCAAGATACTTTTCTGTCGTTTCCGACAGCTCGGGGATGGGCAGATGCGGGAGGTCATCCTGGTGCGCAAAGGTGACGCCGCCCTTGGACTTTTCGTCGTAGACACCCATGGATGCGGCTCCGTTGGTACCGTTGATCTTGTAACCGATGACGCCGCTGGTGGGGCTCACGCCGTTGACTCCGTTGGTCTTAGTCTTGAGCAAGTCAGGATGCTTCCAGTTGCCGTTGACGTCAGGAAGAGATCGAGGAACAGACGATGGTGTGGTAGGTTGCGCGAGCGTCTCGCCGAGGCTTTTGGGCCGGGAGAAAATTCGCACTTGAGTAGGCATGCTGTCAGCTTCCGGGCTAAACTGGAAAATCTCAAGTGTAGAGAGGCGAGACGCAGGTGCTAACGTTCAAGCCACGCAGCGCCGAGCGGTAGAAATAGTGACAGTCCTGAAGACAGTACGATGGCATTACTCGCGACGATACATGAATTATTCACAGATGTGTGTATGCGTATGTATGACAGTGAGCAGGGCAGGGTGAGAGGATCAGAGATGAGGGACGACAAGGCCAAGTGAGTTGTCAGGGTAGGTCAGGGCAGGAAGGGGGTGGGAAGACGACAATATAGCAACGGGGCAACGGATTCAAGGTAATGGATGGCTCAGCTGGACCGAACAGGCTTGAGCAGGGTGAGATGGGGTGCCATGTGCTCGGAAAGACCATGATGAGATCAAGTGGACCCCCACGGCGGTTGGAGGGACGGACCTGAAGCATGAGGGCTGGGGAACAAGAGGGTCTGAGATGGAGACTCGGTACACATGAGACCTTGTCGGTTGCGTCTTGCGGCCAGCACTCGATGCCGTTTACATGTGAGAGGGAGGGAGAGGGCGAAGGTCGTGGAGACTCTAAAGTGTACTTGAAACGGGCTCCGTAGGACCGACGCGAAGTAGCCTCGACGGGAATAGCCCACAGGTGACGTGCCCAGGATACCAAGGATAAAGGTAGCAGAGGGGAGACGATGCAGAAAAAGCTGACCTACCAGAGCCAAGACTTGAGCCTAATTCAAACGACACGCAACAGTGGACAGTCGGCTGTCGGCGCGATATGTGATGCAGCTCGAAGGTAGCAATGCGCGATATTCACCCAGGCAAACGGGTGCAACGGATGCAACGAAGGACTGCTTTGCAATCTGTCAGCGAGACGGCTCAGGCACGGGGGCTATCACGAGCCAGAGGCGGGATGCGGATGCTGTTGCAGATGCGTAGGCGCCGGGTGGGCATCACTCACCGGGTTCAAGGTGCGACAGCGTCAGCAGACAGGGAACCGTGCTGTGGGCGACTCTGCGAAAAGGGTTCAGCAGTGACACACGCCAGGAAAACGAAAGCCTTGGGCAATCTGTTAAGGTCTCTGAGGGTCGCCAGAAGCGAGCGGCGTAGAGCGATTGAGGGTCCACAAGGAAAACCCCACGGGGTCGATGTTGGAGGGGGGGGGGGGTGTCAAAGCCAAGAAAACTGACGCCGCTGGTGCCTTGATGTCGGTAGGGAAGCGTTCCTTTGAGAGTGCCCCGTATCTCGGGCAGAAGGATGTCGTAGCTGATCTTGGTGGGGCTGTGGTTGAATGCTGGCCGCTGGGACGAAGGGATGTCACCTTTGCCTGGCTCGCGCCGCTGGGCTGGGGTCGTCGGGGTGGCCCACTCGGAGGGTTAATTCGGAGGACGTGGTGCTTGGGTGTTGTGCTTGAGGTGTGAAGGAACCAAGAATAGGCTATGCTGATGTTTGCTCGGTAATGCTGTTCCGTTTCCTCACTCTGTCGAGGCTTGCTAGATCTGGCAGATGGGACAAATGTGAGACCGTGTCGAGAAAGGGTGTATTCAAATAAATGTTGCCATTGCTAATCCGTTGGTTAAGGAAGATCACGGCGCGGTGTGCTTCTGATGGCTGACGCTCGTGCTGATCCCGTGCTCTGTACTCGTGCTTGTGCGGGTACCGAAAGGTTGGCACAATCGTATGGATGATGTAACCCTTCTCGGTGACATGTGCCCAGAGACGCGCACTGGGGTACAGAGGAGGGAGAAGAAAGGACCCCTCTCTGTCCCACGTCCCCTCCGTCGGCGCCGCACGCGTTGACTAGAGCCTGGGGACCTTGACGGGCGTAATAGATTGCGGCCGAGCTGCGGGGTGCAGATTGCTTCTCACGGCCTGACGGATCGATCGATATATTGGAGAGAACTCGGAAGTCGTCGGTCGACCTGGAGCACCAGATGGTCCCAGAAGGGCGGACCCTCTGAGGATTCGGAATGCAACTGCGGTCCGAAAGAGGTGTGCTGACGAGACGTGGCCTAGGCCAGGACGACGGACGACCGGATCGGCACTTGTGCCGTGCGCGTGCTTCCTCGAGTGTCGCGACGTTGGTCAGTCTTTCACAACGATGCGGTCCCAAATGAAGCTGGCTTGGTTATATAGGTCCATCGTCCGCCTCGTTGCCGTGTCGCGACTACGCCTCGGAAGGACAGATGGAATCCTTCGTCACTGAATGTCTCCTCCGAGGTGTTTTGCATCCGAGTCGCCACCTGGGCACGAGCTACATCGCCTGATACCAAACCATGGCTGTCTGGCAATGTCCGTCCACGCTTCTGGAGTAGTGAACAGCGCCAGTGATACGCCTAAACACGCCTAGGACAGACGGATGCCACGGGTCAATGGATGCCTCCCGTGACATCAGTCACTGCCTCGACAGGGGAGGGGAAGGATCTGGGTCACGTGGGACCAGTTGAACCTTAGCTAAGCACATCGACGTGGATGACGTAGGGTAGTCAGCCAGTGGGTGCTCGAATGGATGCCCGAATTGGGTCTCGAATCGACTTCCCAAGGCAGCATAGCGTCGAATGATCAACCCCTGATCTTATGGTGAAGACGCCATCCACATCGCCGTAGCACAGCATGGGCCGCATCGCAAAACCCACTTGCCAGTGAGTCAATTCCGTTCTCGATCCCATGGGAGCAAGTGGAGGCCTACCTCTGATGGCCTGTCATTGAATAGAGCCTCAGCTCTATCGTCGTCGCCGTGCCTTCTTTCCTTCTTGGGAAGTCCATTCGAGCATGCTGCACGATTGATGTCTACTTGCCCCCCCTTTGTCCGCGATGAGAAGTCGTAGAAGGTCTATGCCACGCAGTCGTAGTATGATGCGAGGCGGAGTATTTCGTATGCTTAGCTTTCTTCGAATGCCTTTCCCTCTTGGTGGTAGGCTCGATCAGCGCGTGGCTGTTCCCAACCATTCATAGCCATCATCAAGCATTCGCTCTCTTGGGGTTTGTTATATGATATTATATAACTTTCAGAAGCAGTGGTGTTTTTTTCTGCGTCGTACTTCTTTCTGCGAACCTCATCATATCTGTAATTTGACTTGGTAGACCAGGCAATCCCTAACCTGTAACCATGGTCCTCCTCTACACGACAAAAAAACTCTTCAAATTCTTATTTCCTCCCGATTCTGCGTCTTCCCATGAACTCACCAACAAGGATCCTCCCTCGGAAGCATCCTCTACGTCTCCGCGATCCACCAACACATCCAGCAAAGTATGCAGGCACGGCATCAGTCCCCGCTGCGAAACCTGCGTCGCTGCCCGTCGCGCCCAGCTGATCTACCGCTGGAAGATCATACTCGGCCTCTTCCTCCCCTTTACAGTATCCGCCCTCGATGTGACCATCATAGCGAGTGCTCTACCCTGGATCGCCGCCGATTTTGGCGAGCTGACCCAGCTCAACTGGATCATATCCGCCTTCAACCTGACCTCCGCCGCCTTCATCCCCTTTTGGGGTCAGATCGCTGACATTTTCGGCCGGCATACCACCATCCAGGCTGCGACGCTCATCATGGTCGTCGGCAGCGCGCTGTGCACCGCGGCGCCGACGAACGCCTTCGCCGTGCTACTCCTGGGACGAGCGATTCAGGGGCTTGGCAGTGCGGGTATGGATATTTCGGTGCGGGCCATTGTCGCCGACAAGGTCTCGCTCGGCGAGGATGCGAAGAACTGGTCCATATTTACGTTCATCGGCGGCGTGTCGTACGGAATTGGGCCAGTGATCGGAGGTGTGAAATGGCGCTGACACCCCCAAAGTAGAAACATGAGCTAATAGTTTGATAGGATACCTCACGAGCGCAGACTGGCGATGGTGTTTCGGCATTAACCTGCCTGTTGGTGTAGTAGGCATGGCAGTCGTATTCACCGTGCTGCGAAAGGAGCTTCTTGGCCCCCAACCTATCCCGCGACTCGAAGAGACCGTCGAGACAGGCCGTCGAACAACGTTCAAGCATCGTCTTCGGACCATCGACGTTGGCGGCCAGGTCCTGTCTCTGCTCGGCTTCTCCCTCCTCATCTTGTCGTTTACCTGGGCGGGTGCGACCTACGGCTGGAACACACCGGCCGTGCTTGTGCCCCTCATTTCAAGCGTCTTCATTATTGGGGCCTTCGTGTGGTGGGAATACCAGATGGCACCGGGCAATATGCTGGCGCGGAGGTTCAATTATCAGCGTGCGATGATTCCCTGGGAGGTCCTCGTCAATCGTGACATCGCTCTACTGTTCTACACGTCCTTCGCGACGGGCATGGCCATGTACTCGGTCATGTACTTTTGCAACTTTTATTTCACAATGGTGAAGCAGCTCGGCGCCGACGAGGCAGGCGTGCAGCTTCTCTATTTCATTCCTGGTCTTGCAGGTCAGTTTCGTGTAATTTTGCATCCGGGATACTCATCTGCTGACCCCAGCAAACAGCCGGCGTGTACGCAGCCATGTTCATGTGCAACATCAACCCTGGCCAGACATGGCATCCCATCTTCTTCGGCTCTGTCATCCAGGCGCTCGGCATCGGGCTACTAGCATGGGCCTGTTGGATCGAGCATGATGCCACAGTCTACGGCATGATGGCGCTGTCGGGTGTCGGTGTCGGTATGAGGCTCATGCCCGTGCCTCTCCATGGCATGGGCTACTTCCCACAGCGAAAAGCGGCCGTCATCTCACTCGCTCAAGTGTCGGGCCCACTGGGTGGTACACTGGGCTTGACTGTCATGACGACGGTGTTCAACAACGTGGCGGGCATTGAGAGCAGCGGAAGAGACTTTACGGCGCTGCGCGACATGGATGCGAGCCAGTTGGCGGCCATGGCGCGCGATGCGAGAAAGGGTATTGTGATGGCATACATCTCCATCTCTCCGTTCATGGTGCTTGTGAGTACATCAAAATTACGCTTAGGGCTGAAATCGCTGCTGACACGTACGGCCTCAGTGTGTCGTGGCAGCGGCCATGTTGGGCAATGTTTTCATTGCCAGGGCCAAGGAAGGCGAAGACGAGCGTGAGAACAAAATCTTCCCTGGCGTCTTCTTCTGGGCGTGGATTCGTGGCGAGGCTCACGTTTCGGAAAAGCCAGAGGTACTTTCGACCACGCGGCTTCCGGGCGGCCACCGAGGGGTGTATCTTGCCCCAGGTTGAGTATAGACAGACAGCTGAAGAGACGACCAGACAACAAAGTGGTAGCGGAACTCGAAGTTAAGTGTTCAGTTCCTAGGGCAACGAATTCCTCGAACTCATGGGTGTTTGCTGCATAGCGAAATGTATTTTCATCGACTGGTACACTACCTAGGTAGCATAAACTGTCAGCACATGGCACTTCCCCCACTGACCGTCGGTACGATTGCGGCTACTGGCTCCCGGCCTCTCTGCTCATGTGGTGTCTCGTATTGCACAGAGGGCCGGTCGAGCCGAGATACGGGGACAGAGGAATGGAGTACGAAGCTTGGTGCCGTTCTTAGTGGAAGAGAGGATTCCACACGCACGCGAGAATTGCAGTGTACACATGTACCAAGTATGGGACCTTCCCAGGTAGGTGCGTTTTTTTTTTGTTCAAAAAAGGCTTGGTCTCGGAAACGGGTCTGTGCATGGCTTGGTATTTTTCTCTGGTGGTCGAAGACTGGTGGTACATGGTAGGTGCTTCGAGGGAGGCGGGGTTGACGAGATCAGATATCTAGATTTAGGCCCTGATCGTCTCGAGCATTTAAAGCTAAATGTATTTAGCTCTAAGTGACTTACTTAAAACGGTACTAGCGTACTATTTCGGAAGTACCTCTAAGCCCCCGGTTCTTTACTTAATTAAGAAAATAGTTAGAGAAAGTCGGATTAAGGGTTTTCCCTTCTATATCGAGCCTTAACCCTCTCTTCTAGTCGTAAATTATAACTAAGTCTATTAATTCTATACCTCTATTATACGAATTTCTATATATCTATTATAGAATCGAACCCTTTAATTATTAATAATAATATAGTTAGAATCGCTTCTACGCTTAAGTAAAATATCCTCGATCTCGATAAAACTAACTTATTTAATAGTAATAAAGATACCTCTTCGCGAATAGAATCTAAATCTCTCTTCTATATATAAAAAGACCTAAATACTAGCTAAATTAAAGGGTAGAAAGGTTATTTTATATAGTACTTAGAGGCTATAAAGCTTTTCTTTAAACGCTTTAAGTATTTAGTAATATAAAGAAGATTTTTTATAATAAATAATAAGCGTATTACTCTTAAGGCTATATTTAAGGAAATCCTATCCGATTTATAATTAGCGTTCCTTACGCTAAATATTACTTTATAAACGCTCTCTATAAAATATAATAATCTTTATATTAAATATCGGAAAATTCTATAGCTTATAGAGATTTCTAGAATAACCTATAACGATAAGATAGGTTAGATATTAACTTTTAAATAGAATTAAGAAACCTTCGAGAGACGGAATAACTATATAGTTTAAATATAGCTTCGAGGCTTCCTTTATATTAACTCTCTAATAAAAGAGATATAGCTTTATATATACGTAATAGGCGAGGATATTATAGAGGTTTAGGATTATTATTAATAGTAGCCTTTAAGCGATAAGAATATAGTTAAAGGGTAAGGAAAGAGGTAGCGGATCGAGAAGCCGAGTAAGATATAGGATCTAAGCTATAATATAGAGACTCCTACTTTAAGGGTCGATCTCTCTAACCTTAACTTACCCTTTTCGGCCTCTTTACTCTCCTCGTAGCGTTAGTAGGCTAAAGCTTAACTTTTAATAATATAGGGCTAGATAATAATTACTTAAGTAATTTAGGAGGGCCTCGATAAGCTTATAATTCCTAAAAGTAAAATAGTAATAAAGTAAGTATTATTTACTTATAAGTAATTATTTAATTAATATCTTAGATTTAAAGGTTTTCTAAAAGTAAAAGAATACTTCTCTAATAATCTTCTTAAAGCTTTTACTTTTAATTACCTATTATAGGGCTTTTAGCTACTATTTCTATAAAGAATAAATATAATAAATAATATAAATAGTAAATAAATTAATATAAAAAGAGGGATTAATTTAATAGAAAAAGTAATTTAATATTTAAATATAGATTTTAGTTTATATAATTAATAATATTAATTATATATAATATAGCTTAGAATTAATTTAAGTATTTTAATTAATTAGAGATTTACTTTTTTAATTTCTAAATAGAATTATTATTTAATATTTTAATTCTAAGCTTTATTTATTTCTAATTTAATATTATACTCTTTTTTTTACTCTTTATAATACCTTTTCTATATTTATTCTAATATTTATAATAGATTTAATATTTTCTAAATTATCCTCTTTATTTCGCTATTATTATAGGAAGTTCTAAAGACTTATTAGAATATATATTATATTAATTTACGTTTTAAATAAGTATTCTAAGGGTCCTTTCTTTAATATAGTAAATATATACTTTAAAATATTAAAAACCTATTTAATAATAGCTTAAAGGTATATATAGATATAATTATATTTATCCTTTATTAATAAGTTATCTTAATCGATATTTTCGAAATCTCTAAAGTAATATTAACGTCCTCTAAATAGTATAATAAACCTTTAAAGGTTTTATATAAACCTATTATCTATAAAATAGAAATAGCTTTTAAATACTTAGAACGACTTTATTAAAGCTTATATTAGAAAAGTAGAGTTATTTATTAACCCCTCTATATTTACTAAAACGTAATTAAATATAAAGTTAAATTTTATTATAGTAAATATATTCTAAAATATCCCTCCTTTCCTATTAAAGAATCTCCTCTAAGAGGAGGCCTCTATAAAAGCTAATATATAAATTCTATTAATAGCTCCGATATAGCTATTAAATTAATAATATTACGGGTTTAGCTTAATAAATTTATTAAGGAAATCGTTAATAGGAAGCTTTATAACCTCGATATAGAGTTTATATAATATTTATAATACTTCGTCGAATATCCTTAGAATATAGCTCTAAAGGACTTTTAATAAACTTTTTATTACCTTTTACGTTATTACGTAGCTAATAATATATAGAAAAATTAATAGCTTTTATTCTATTAATCGATATCGAGAGCCTCGAATAATATACTAAGCTCGCGCTTAGCTCGTAAATACTCGGAATTCCGGCTTTAAGATACGAAATATATTAATAAAAGTATAATCTAAGCTTTCTAACTAAGCTATTACGAGCTACTATATTAAGCGTACTTACTCTAATACTCGCTAATATAAGGCCTCTTAATAGAACTATAGAGGAGGCGAGAGGAGGTCGATAATAAAAGGTAGAATTAATATAACGACTTCGTCGATTTTATCGTTAATCCTAAGCGATTTAGATTCTTCTATTAGTAATTAAGATACTTCTATTTTAGCGTATATTAGCTTAAAAATAAGTATCTTTTTAATATTAAGAAGGTACTTTAAATAATTAATATTAAGTTATAAATCCCTTCCTATTTAGGGAAGGTCTAAATAAACTAAGGTACCCTATTAGCGTAGTATATTTATTATATAATATTCGGTTAAATATTAGCCTATCGTTTATTTAGTATAAAACGCCTATTAAATTAAGTAAAGCATTATAGGCACGGGCTATATTCTATATAGGTTAATGATCTTTTAGCACTAAATGCTCGAGACGATCAGGGCCTTAAATGATTTCCGATTATGTAGGGAGACACAGAGGCGAATGGTGCATCGTTCCGTGTTTGTCTTGACCGTCTCAATCTGTGGGCGAGACTTTTGCTCTCCTCCTCTCATTTGTTTTGTGGCCAGGTAGTGCCAGGGATGCTGATGATGTAACGTGATCGTACCTGCGTGATAAATCTTGAGGACGGTTCTGAAGCAGGCACCTAGCCGTTTGATACACGGTTAGTCTGGTGGGTCGTGGGCCCTGAAATGCAGAAAATACAGGGGCACACCACGCCTAATCAGTTAGGTGCTAGGTGCATCGTATTCCGTCGGGAGGCTGTATTCACCCACGCCTTCCACAACATCGCAGGCAAGGGTGGGGGGGCCGAGGGCCTGAGATGGTTAGCTTGGGCCTGTAATCTTAGCACACGCGACCGCGATCCTATTTTGATTGGAGGACATAGGGCTCTAGTGGCCTCCCTTAGTCCAGGGTGGTCGTGATGTGACGAGAACCTCCTTCCCGACATCCGTCATGAATGCGCCTTCCCCGGACGTCTGTCCCCCCTTCCCTCGTTCTCCTCTCCGTTCTTCAGCTTCGCTCCTGCCCAACGTTGGAGACGCCTGGCCAACGTGTTTGCATAGCATTGCGTTGCATCGTCCTTTGCTCAAACTCACTTCTCGACACTCATTCAGTCTGCTTTAATTCCTGTCTCCGACCACTCTTTCGGTTCTGTCGACTCTGCACTTTTTACTCTCTTGGCTTTTTGGACCCTCTAAATTGCGCAACTGTCACTCCACGCACACAACAAAACATTAGCTAGCTACTCTACCCAGACGACCGAATCTTGGACGGTAACTTGACTTTTGCGGAACGACGCAATTCTTTCGCCATGCTTGTAAGTTGTTGCTAAACCCGGCGCTTTTGCTTGTCATTGGCTCGGTGCACCTTTCCGGAGGCTTTCCTTCGTTGGCACTTTGTCCAGGCAGTTGGGACCTGACACTTGGGCCCCTGGCTGGGCAGTTGGCTCGTCGAAGCACCGCCATGTGGAGTGCATCTGGCGCCCTCCCTACGTCGAGAAAAAGCAGTACCTAGCCCGGTCCGATGCTTCTTCTTCTGACCATGGAATTCTAGCAAAGCCGATTTGGACATTTGATTTCAGCAATGCTAATTCAAGCCCACACCAGCTCTCCTCCACTCTTGTCGCCTTGGGCGCCACTCTGACCGCGGCCCTGACTCCCCTTGAGGTCCAAGGCAATGCCTTCGTGAACCCCAAGACCGGCAACAAGTTCCAGATCGTAGGTGTCGACTACCAAATCAATGGTGCCGCTGGTTACGACCCTGCACACGGCCATGACCCTCTGTCCGAAGCGGACGTCTGCCTCCGCGATGCTGCCATCATGCAGGCTCTTGGCGTAAACGCTATCCGCGTGTACAACCTCGATCCCAACCTGAACCACGACGAGTGCGCCTCCATCTTCAACGCCGCGGGCATGTACATGCTCATCGATGTCAACTCGCCCCTCCCTGGCGAGGCCATTACCGCTTGGCAGCCGTGGACCAGCTACTACATGGAGTACCTCAACCGTACCTTTGCTATGGTCGAGGCTTTCAAGAGCTACCCGAACACCCTTCTCTTCTTCTCGGCCAACGAGGTAATCAACAACGAAGCTACAGTCGTCGATGTCCCTCCCTACCTGCGTGCCGTTACGCGCGACCTGAAGAACTACATTGCCAATCACGCCGACCGCAAGATTCCCGTCGGATACTCTGCTGCCGATGTCCGCGAGTACCTATGGGATACCTGGAACTACATGCAGTGCACGCATGACGAGGACAAGGACGATATGAGCCGCGCTGATCTTTTTGGCCTCAATTCCTACTCCTGGTGTGGCGAGTCTGACTTTGAGAAGTCGTCCTATGACGACCTCGTCGATGGTCTCAAGGATACTTCTGTCCCCGTCTTCCTCTCCGAGTACGGCTGCAATAAAGTCACTCCCCGTCCCTTCACTGAGGTTGGCACCATCTACGGTGACCAGATGACTGGCGTCTTCTCTGGTGGTCTCGTTTACGAATTCAGCCAGGAGACTCACAAGTTTGGCCTTGCTCAGGTTTTCAAGAACAACTCAGTTCACCTTCTCGAGGATTACCACCTGCTGGCCGAGCAGTATGCGAAGCTCGACTTTAATACTTTGGAGGGCACTAAGCCTTCCAAGAACTCCCCCAAACCTCCCAAGTGCGACGCCTCCCTCATCAAGACGAAGGAATTCAACGCCAACTTCACGCTGCCTGTTGTTCCTCCTGGCGCTCAGGAACTCATCGACAATGGCATCGAGAACAAGCCCTCTGGCAAACTCGTCAAGATCTCTAACTGGGAGGTTGACTCGGACTTCAAGATCTGGGATGCCAACTGGAACCTTCTCACCCTCTCCGTCAAGCCCCTTGCTGACGATGAGTCAAACAAGCCCGGCAACAACGAGGCTTCGACCGCAAGTGTGAGTGCTGGTCCCACGTCCTCTTCTGCGTCCTCGCCCGCATCCACTTCCAATGGCGGCACTGCCAACGCCGACGAGAGCGCCGGCATTTCTGTCCGTCCCGCCGTTGCCTTTGCAATTGCGGCGCCTATTGCTCTCCTTTTGCTGTAATTGTCGTTCTTGTTGAGCGGGGTGATGATTGGGATGGATAGACCATAACTTATTCTTTGTAAATGATGATACCGAAGAGTTAATGGATAAACATGCCATAGCAGTTGTTGTCGTTGTCATCTTCCAGGCTTACTTCAGCCTGTTGAGTTTCTTTATTTACTTCAAATCCATACATTTGCTTCATCCCAATTATGTGTGAAGGCAGACAACGTCGGGGATCGTGATGACTCGCTGCGGTGTTGTTTAGGTGTGCGTGTCTTTATGATGTGGTGGGCCCTTTCTCGGTAGGCCAAATCATGGTCTCGACAGTATATCCCCACCGACGAGATTCCTTTTACGAAGTATGCTGCCAAGGCCAACATGGCCTGTGACTTCTTTTCATGGCTTCGCCACTGTGTCAGTTGGCTGGCATCGAACCTACGGGCATGTGTGGCACGTGGTCGGGCAAATCACAAGCTCAGGAAGCTCCTGTCACGTTGACGATAGCATGGAATCCGCAGACACCCCGAATGGTTCACAGGCACGAGGAGATGGAGCGACAAGTCAGTGTCATAAGGCATATGTATTCCACAGTACCGGGACAGCCTCTCTAACAGAGCACATGTCTGATTAAAGCGTAAAGAGAAGATGGACGAGTTGGGGGAGCGAAAATAGTCGAAAGTGAAGAAACAGAGCCGACGTGCGTCCAGTGGGAGTGGAAGAAGAAATAAGAGGGGGGGAATAAACTACCATGTTGACCAACACGCACACAAATACTTGTAATAAAAAAAAGAACAGCTACCCCGTCTGGTCGGCGGGAGGGGGAAAGGGGGTATTAACCTGAATCCTCGTGCCACGCCGTCGATCTTTTCGTTCTCGCTACTCCCCGAATGGAACTCGTGCGTATCGCTGGAGACGACTATCAAGACAGCTCCTCAGATCGCCCCTGACTGTACCATGCTTCCAGGAAAGATGCAACATCTGAACATCCTGCGTATTCCAGCCAGTTTCCGGACCGGAAGGCTCGCCTGTGGCGCCTCATGGTTGTGATCAAACACCAAACATGGAAGCACATCTGGCAAGGCGTCCATCCTCTGGCCGCTGCGAAATCGCAAGCTGAAGGCCACAGGAATTCACGTCATGCCCAAGCTAGCCCACCTAGTATCCGTTCATGGTCATCCGTTGCGAGCCCCTGCTAAGTTCCCGGTCGGCGGCAGGGCTGATGGGTCGGCTGCTACCGCCGTGCGCGCTGCTCTCCTTGAGGGCGAGCAGTTGCTTGGCACGGAAAGTCTCATAGTGGATCTGAGACGTCGTCTCGATGAGGTCCTGGAGATGGGTGCGGAGAAGGAAGTTTCGCAGGTAGACGAACTCGCAGTGGTTCTCGTCCTCGACGTTGATGACGCCCCACCTGTTCTGGCGACCGCGGACCTGCTGGCCATTGACGATGATGGACTTCTCAGAGCCCACGACGGCGAAGGGAATCATGTCCTGTACGGGCACGTTAGCACGGCACGGAGAGCAATGGTAGAGATCGCAAGACTGACCTTGATGCCGGTGTTGACAGTGCGCTCCTCGTCATCAAATTCCTCGTTGTCGTAAGGGTACATCTTGAGGTTGTGGAAAGCGAACTCCTCCTTGATACGGGCCTTGAACTCCTGGCGCTCCTCGAAGGTCAGGGAGTCGGCCTTGGCAATGACGGGAACAACGTTGACGACATCAGACAGCTTCTTGAGGACGACAATGTCAATGGGCTTCAGGGAGTGGCCGGAAGGCTGGATGAAGAACAAGCAGCAGTGGATGCGGGTGTCCTGAATGTAGCGCTCGCGCTGGGCGGTGAGCTCCTTTCGCAGGTACGCGGAGTGCTGATCCTTGATGTACTTGACGATAGGGTCCCAGCAGCGGTCGTTGTTGACGAGATCACCGTAGCCAGGGGTGTCGACAATGTTGAGGCGGAGGCGGACGCCGTTCTCCTCGATGATGTGGGAAGCACCCTTAATCTCGGTGGTCGAGCGGATGGGCTCGTCGGGTTGCAGGCGGCCCTTGGAGTCGATCAGGTGAGAGGCGAAGATGGTGTTGATCAGGGTCGACTTGCCCAGTCCCGTCTGGCCTGTGTGCAGTTCTCGTCAGTCACGGTCCATGTGAAGGGATTCAGGGTCCACGCCTGCATCCCAGAGGAGGCAGGGAAGCTAGGACCACAGAGCTGATGGTTTACGGGGTCGACCTACCAACACAGATGACATTGAACTGGAAACCACGCTTCAACAGCTTCTTCTCGATCTGGGATGTGATGCTGTCGAAACCGACGTGGGACTGGGGGAAGATGGTTGAAGGCTGCTGCGTCTGTGCCATTGTGATAGCTTTTTGTTCGCGTGAAGCGAGTGTCGGTGGACAGGTAGATTGTGGGGGTGAGGAGGACGTTGGGGAAGTGGAAGTAAAGTGTAGCTTGAGATGCCTTATTCCAAGAAAGCGACAATAATGGAAGGTTGGCAGGGAGTTGGGTCGTCGAGTCGCACGCTGGATATGGACGAGAAATGTCGAAGTCGGGACTTTGAGGATTTGGGGGGCCGGCCAGGGGGGGGGGAGATGGGATGATGCGAGGTGGTTCCAAGTGAAGCCGCCGTAGGCCAAAGGGGAGGGACGTGGAATTTCTTCGCGGATGCCCCTTCCCCCAGCAAACACAATTTCCGTCCAGAGCAAGAGCCAGGGGTCCAGGAAAGGGGGAAGGGGCAGATGGTAGCTGCTATTGGCTGGGAGCTGTCTGTGCTCTGAACCGTGTCTTATTGGTTGTCGTCGTTGAGTCTCAATTGACACGGAAGCTTGGACCACATTGCCCCGGCTGGATTTTCTGAGGCAAGATCTGAAGCGAAGTCATCAACCTCGACGCACCTCACGCGATCCTTGATCACCGAACGACCTGCTGTCTCGCGCCGAACACCGAAAACGAAATACCCCGCCTCGCTCTGGACAAGCTTCATTGCAAGCCATACGTTCGCCAACTCCTTCCGAACGCCGAACCGACCGCCCAAAAAAAAAAAAAACCACAGTGGGTGAGGCGGCGCCTACCTCGATCCCGACACCATGGCCTCCATCGCAGCTTCGACGACAACCTCTCTTCTCCCCCGATTCTCCGCCGCTGCCATGCTCAACTCCTCGAGGACATGGACCCTATTTGCCCAGCAAGTCACACAACCTGTCCTCCCAAGGCTATCCGCCGCCCTACCCGCTGTCTCGCTCAACATCCCCGGCTGGCTCGAAGGCATATGGGAAGGCATCCTGCGGGCCGTGCCCAAGAAGAAGACGACACACTCCAAGAAGCGATCGCGCTTGATGGCTGGCAAGGCTCTGCAGGATGTCACGTCGATCTGCAAGTGTCCTGGGTGTGGTCAACCAAAGAGGAAACACGTCGTTTGCCCGCATTGCATGGAGCGTGAGTCACCAGGGACAGAAAGACTACATTTCAGGGGAACTGTGCTAACGAAAGTGCTACAGAAATCAAGGGAATGTGGCGGGGCGCCAACCCATCCGGAAAGTTCCTCTGAACAACGGCATGGAATAGACGAAATGGAGAGGGGCTGAAGAAGAAGAAGAAGAAGAAGGAGAAGAAGAGAACTGTACATCACAGTGTATAACCATAGGACTGTATAACGACCTAAGACGTCGCAACCAACCAAATTTCAATCCACATACGAACGGCGTTTCTTATCTCAACGTGAATACCGCCGACCGGGAAGCTGCAATGACAGACATCAACAATCATGGCCGGTACTCACGGGCGCATTATGAGACGGCAACGCAGGAGCGGCGGTTCAAAGATCTTTCTAGTCCCGGATCCTGGCAGTACAAGCATGTGACGGCGAAATCTTGGTAGGAAACACTCGAGGCATGGACCACGATACCCGACATGGCGACCCTGCTGGCACGATAGACTCGCGATCACGAAGCAACAGTCACCGCGGTACGCTCGAACGAACATTCATCAAATTGCTTCAAATCCGAGCCTGAAGGCCTATGTTGAAATATGTGAAAAATATATACAAGTTTGAAGAGATGTTTTCCAGTTCCTTTTCGTTGACTCCCCTCCCTTTGCACCAGCGCTACATGAGGATCATGGTTCTGCTACTCTAAGCGCTCACGGTGACGGTGACCCAGACGGTGCGTTGGGTCTTGCACTTCTTGGAGGTGGCAGGCAGCTCATATCCGCCGGTCGGAGCCGGTGCGACGGGGGCCTTGGTGATCTCAGGGGCCGGGGCAACGGGGGCGTTCGACTCGACGACATCCGTCGGCGGCTGCTCCGCGACCGGCGCGGTGGGCACAGCGGCGGGGATGGAAGAGGACTCGTCGACGGGGGCGGCGGGCTCACTAGCTTCGGGAGAAACAGGGAGGGCAGCCTCGACGGTGGAAGCGCTGTCAACGGGGGCAGCGGACTCGGCAGCGACGGGCTCGGACGCAGCAGGGGCAGAAACTACGGGGGCAGCGGCCTCAGTCTCAACGGGAGCGGCAGCCTCGGTCTCGGCAGCGGAGGAGACGGGGGCGGCCGCGGCGGAGGAGGCAGGGGTCTCGGGCACGGGCTCGGCGGGGGAGCTGGCACCGCCGAGACTGATACAGGCGAACGAGATGTCGCTCGTGGTCGAGGCGGGCAGGGCGCGGGTGACGGCGTCGAGGCGCCACTCCATGTTGACATAGGGCCAGCAGATCCTGCCGTCCGACATGGTGACCAGGTCGCCGGAGACGGTGGTGTCGAGGGACTCGATGGGGCTGCCGACCTTCTCGCCGGCCTTGTTGACAAGCTGGTAGTGGGTACCGGTGAACTTACCGCGGCAGCCCATGGCCTCAAAGTCGCAGATGGGGCTGGCGATTTCCTCCCAAGTGACGAGGGCCTGCGAGGCGTCGAAGGCGGCGACGTGGGCGTTGGAGCAGTCGGCGGTGCCCTCGGTGACCCAGTTGATCTGCTTGTCACCATCGGCGGCGCCGACAACAGACGTAGCCTGCTCACCGACGATGGTCGACTTGTCGGAAAAGAGGGCGATGGCAACGTTGCGGTTGCTGGTGCGGTTCGCCGACTTGGTGTAGCCAGCGCCCATCCAGTCGTTGGCCGTCAGGTCGATGGCGCCGCGCGAGACCCAGGAGAAGATGTACTCGCTGGCAGAGCCGAAACGGGCGAGACCGCTGTAGCTGCCACTGGTTCCGCCCATGGGCTCGTTGCTGCCACCGTTGATGACCTTCTCGTTGGAGACCTTGACGCCGTTGTTGCCCATGCCCTGCGTCTTGGTGTTGAGCCAGATGGCGCCCTGGTCCTCGGCACAGATGGACGCGTAGGGAGGGGCATCGGCAGCCTCAAAGGCAATGCCGGTGTTGTGGCTGCAGCCCCACGAGGACGAAGCGCCGGGGATGTTCTCGAGAGTGCCATCAGGCTTGACGTAGCGGATGGCATCGCCAAAGTGGCCCTCGGCCCAGCCGCTGTAGGCAGTCACGACAAAGTAAGCGGCGTAGTAGCCAGCCTCAGCGGAGAAGACAAGGTCACCGTTGAGATCGGGCGAGGCGACAAGGCCGTTCTCGGCATCAACACCGGGGCCTCCGAGGAAGGTCTTCCAGGATTGCGTGCCAGCAGCGTTGTAACGGTAGAGAACAGGAACGGGGGTGTTGCCGGCAGGGGCGTTAGAGGTGCCGGAGGGAAGAGCCTCGTTGGTCAACAGGGCGAAACCATCGTCGTGGGCGACGAGACCACCGGCCTCTTTGGCGCCCTTGATAGTGACGGAGGTGCCCGTGGCAGCAAAAGTAGTGGGGTTGATGGGCTGGACGTGCACGTCCGTCTCACTGGCATCGAGATAAGCGAGGTAGGCCGTCTTGCCGTCGGGCGAGAGGGCAAAGGGAGTTCGACGATGGTGAGGGTAGCCAGTCCAGTAGGCCTCCTTGACGGGGTTGTAAGAGTGGGCGAGAGTCGCCGAGTCAACGTGCTTCTCGAGCGACGATGTCGTCAGCTGCGCAAGCGACAGCGAAACGTTGAGAAGAAACGAAAGTGTGAGCCTCATCCTGACGGGCTTTGAAAAGAGTGTGTACGAAGAAAATGAGTGACTGAATGAATGACGACAAGTCGGTATGGAAAGGAACGCGGTTTGAAAGAGAGACAGCTAGACGCTGAGGAAGAAAAGCCAACAACCACGATGGCGCTCAACACTCAGTATACATAGATCCTGCCCTGCACCACACTTCCAGGGGGGCATCGGTCAGATTCGGCAGCAGAAGCCGCCAACTGTCGACGATGACATGAGAGATTGCCCTCCCCGGCCGTTGGCATCTATTCGACTCAGGGGCGCGTCGTTTCAGCGGCCACAAACGAAAGTGGAGGAGCGGTCGCCATCTATCTTGGCCCCAGCGTCTGAAGTTGGGCGGAGTTGGGCCCAGCCCAAGGTAGCTGAGGGTGCTTGTAAGGCTGTCATCTCATCTTGCCATGGCACCCAGCCGTTCCGGGAAGTGACTCGTGCGTATTTGCATCTAAAGACTGGTGTTTTCGTCCAAGTCAAGTTCCCAGGATGCTTCTCTGGGAAATTCAATGCGACGGAGCGCCAACTTTTCGTAAACCCAGATTATCACTCGAGTATCGGCCCAGCGATCATCAAGACCAAACGACGAGGCCCAGCGGTTGACCAATCTCCTGGGCGTTCGGGGCGTGCTAGGTTTCAGACCCCTGAGTATTTCCCAGGATCACTGTTCTTGAAGATCCGGGGTAGCCAGCGCCGCAGCAATGTAAATTTCCGCCTCAGGGCCTGGAACTTCTTCGTCAGCAATTGCTGTGCGGCTGTCGTCTCGAATTGAGGCTTTAGTCAGACATGTCGGCAATCTCTTTATATGAAGAGACTGGTGGTCTCGTGTCTGGCTGGAAGTACGGCGGGTTCAAGGATAGGTGGAATCGATCGATGCAGGCAACTCAGTCTAAGTACCCGGACATGATACCATTAGTGAGCTGGGAGAACCATGCTTTTGGTGTTATTCCTACCTTGCTGCAATGCGTGGCCTTCAGATCAAAACTCCCACTTTGCAAATGAGACGGCGCTTGGAGTGTTTTTGTTCAACAGTCGGCCGCCTGTCCTTTTTCCAACGACTCATGTGCAACGGAGCAGAGGTACTGCGCACCGCACTTTCGGGAAGCGAGAGGGGGCTGCAGGCAACATGATCTGCTGGTAAATGCCAAACATTTGCTTCTCAATTGAGCCTACCTTGCCTGGTTCTTCGACACCATGCTTGCGACAAAAGGGTTCGCCATCAGAAGTGCTGGTGATGCCAGTATCAGCAACAGGAAGCCGACCCTTTACAGAGTAGGTAAGATTCGGTATGCCGCTCGATCTTGGGTAGTGTCCTAGGGTTCTTAGAGTTGCAGCTCTCGATGCAAGGGCCATGGCTCAAAGTACAGTTTAGGCACCTTAGCTAAAGGAAGCGGAATCACGGCGGCCAAGATGTTTGAGGAATCGGCATTGCGCCCCGCACAAAGAAAAGCAATGCCACATCCAATCGGCACGTTGGCGAGATCCTCACACACGTTTGACCATCGATCCCACTGTGTCGCCGAGACCGCACTGAGCGCACTTGGCTCGTCGATTAGCCTTTTCTGGAGCGAACCCCATCCAACATCGCATTTCTGGCACCACTATGAACAACAGCGCTCGCATACTGCGTCGCCGCAGAAGCAGGCTGGCTACCTACCCTAGGTACCTATCTCACCGCACTGGTACCCACCCATACGGCACCTAGACTTACCAGAGAACACGTTCATGTCGCTGAACGCGGTGTGTGGCAACTACGGACGTTCGTTCACGAGCCTTCGGGCCGCCAGCAACACATGAATGCCCTCGGCCACCGGTTCCCGAGTACGAATGCGACACGTGTGACCGTCATTTCGACAGCTCGAAAGGTGCAGCCCAGCACATGGACATAGAGGGCCATTGGGGGGACGCGTGCGTTCGCTCCACGGAAATGTCCTGTGGATTCAGTTTCGACTTCTTCGGCGGTATTGAACAATACAAGATGGACTACCACTGCTACTGTCGCTCATGTGGCCGTCACTTCTTGACCTCCAATCACATTTCCAGGCAATGACAGCCATTGCCTTGACCCAAGGATACACGCCACCTTGGACTTGTTTTAAACGGATCCTCGTCACAGCATCTAAGGTACCCTATCCACCTGGGCGCGAATCTATCCTGCTCCTTCTGTCGAAAAGCATACACAGTCGCTACGGTCACTGACCACCATCTAGAGTTTCATGCGTGTCCCAATGCCCCCGTTGATCGCCAACTTGTGTATCGAGCCATTGCCAGGTACGATGAACGCGGCCAGTTCACCAACAAACACGCCCACCAAGTTACGTATGCTGTGACCGACCGGGCCTACAACAACCTCATCAACGTATGGGAGGCTGACCTCTGCCACCGAGTCTATAACCTGCGATCCTCACTGAACCAGCATCTGAAGTCTCCAGCCCCCCAGCAGGCGCTGTATCACGGTCCAAGCACGAGATGCCGCAGGAAGTTTGCAATGGCCGGAT